ACGTGCCTTCCCCAGGAGATCACAGTGGATCCTTCCAGACATAGTGCTGGGCATCCAACCTGTCTGAAAACTGGTTTGCAAAGAGGATTAGGCAGCTTGTAAGAAACCTCAAAGGTTTCTTAGCTAATGTTGGTTAGATCCATGTCAACTTAAACTGGCTGGTGACAGGGCCCATAAGCGGCAGGAGAAAATATTTGGAGGGGCTGAACATTGCAGGGTGTGCCTGCCTGACCCCTGCCCCTCCCTCCCGCAGGGCTGTTGCAGGGGCCAGTGCACGCTGGTGCTGTTTGCATGGTGGCGTGGAGCCCATGGCGGGGGCACTGGGTGCAGTACTGCAGCGGTGGGGCACGGTGGTGGTGCTGTCCCAGCAGCCATAAAATTAGTTTGGGGGGGGTTAAGCACTATTAGACTTGGCCTTCCGCTGCCTACAACAGGGGCCATTTATATGTAGCCCAGTGTTTGCAGTGATATTGGGACCAGACAGTGGGAATCCAAGTCTCTGCTGGATGGTTCTAGTCTGGGAGGGGCATGATCTGATTTTTTTAAGCTGTCAGTAAGTTTTCGTTATTAGGTAAATGCTTAGATAGAGCAATTTTTCACTTTTGTGGAATGTGAATGTGGAATAATTTTAATGTATCCATCCAATAAGATGTAGCATGCCTCAGTTTTAATCTTTTTGTTGTTACCAGTGTTTGCAAGGTATCAGAATGGCTGAGAAATTGAGATGCAGAAATCTAGAACTCTTGGCTCCAAAATGATACCTTTTATTAGCCCAACTAAGAAATTGCAACAAATGATTTTTCTACAAGCTTTTGGGCTCATGTGCCCTTCATCAGGCTCAGGGAAAGTTCAAGATGGTAAAAAGTCTCCATATGTAGTAAATAAATTTCATTTTTGCACAGAGGAAGCAGAAGCTGGAAAACTTCCTCTGGGTCCATGAGAGTCTCTTTATGAGCTTGCTCTTTCTTGTGTAGATCGAGCAGGATTTCTTTCCTGGTGGTGTCAGATGACAGGCAGGGAAGTGTAGAAATCTTTCTTCTTCTTCAGCAATGAAGTTTGTAATCCATAATTGGCTAAAGAAGTCCTTTTTTTAAATACATAGGAGGTAAAAAGAAGGTTCCGGGTAATGTGGGGCCCCTGCAGGACACGTTAGGGAATTTGGTCATCACACCAGACGATAAAGCCAACATATTTAACGATTTCTTTGCCTCCATCTTCCTAAGCAGGGACCG